GTTTTTGACGTGACCAAAGAATTTATGCTTGCCATCGACTGTACCACAGGGATAATCTTCAGATATACGAAGGGCAAACAAAACTTGATGCAGAACGAAGCTTGGATTGGTACCAATATATTCAATCTTGTTCATACCGAGGACCACGAAGTTCTTAGAGAGCAGTTACTCCAGATTCCAAAAACCAATTTTTTTATTTGAAAACAGGGTCTGTGAGGAAGGAGGACAGCGTACCGCAGTACAGAGACGCGATCCGCACCAAACGGAACTTCAAGTGTCGCATAAAATCTCCTAATTTCGGATATTCCATCGTCCACTGCAACGGATACATTCTGAACAACAACACCGAGAAGCAGTCAAACGGTCAGTTAATACTTTTCGGAAAAATGATACCTGTAGACACAAATGAGAGTGAGCATTCCATTCAAGATTCATTTGAAACAGTTCTCAATGTAAATGGAGTCATTACGTATGTAAACGGAAATTTGCTGAACGACTTGGGATACAATACGGACCGAATCGTTGGGCTTAACTTTTTGAAGTTCGTCCATCCTTTCGACAAACAGAAGTTCCTGAAATATTTTCAGCAACTTTTACAGAACAAAGGTAAAGAATTTTCGACCTCTTATCGTGTGCTAGGTGTCAGCGGGCAATACGCGATGGTTCACTGCGATGGAGAGTCCTACATTAATCCCTTCACCAATGAAATCAGGTTCATCGTGTGTAAAAATTTTAGGGTCTTAGATCCATTCCTAACGGTCCAAAAACCAGCCGATAAAGTTATTGAAAATCTTGTGATTCCAAACATGCAAATGCATTCACCTATACAGGAAGCTCTAGTTTTCAACGAAATTAAAAATTGCTATAATCAAAAGACTTTGGGTACACAAATGAATACTCCGAATTATCATCTTCATCAGCAATGCAATCCAAGCAGAAATTATCAATACAAAGTGGAAAATCAAAACGCGATGTTACAAAAACAATACTTCGAAAAGCTGCAACAGAAGCAACAAAAACATAAGCTGCAGCAGCAACAACAGCAGCAGCAACAACAAAAGCTGAAACAACAGCTACAACAACAACAACAGAGGTTGCAACAGCTGCAGCAAAAACAAGAACAGCAGCAACAACAGCAGAAACTGCGACAACAGATGAAAAAATATAAACTACAACAACAGCTACATCAGCAACTGCAGCAACAACAGCTGCAGCAACAACAAGAATATCAGCAACAACAACAGCTGCAGCAACAACAAGAACAGCAGCAACAACAACAGCAGCAGCAACAACGACAGCACGTGCAACAACATCAGCTGCAGCAAATTTCAAATCCAATGGGCTACAATTATCAAATGCCCAACGTTCAAATGACATCTCCAATTGATTACAGCGTTCAACATGATATTCATGACATCCATAACATTCAAGGACAATACTCTTTAGATAGTTATGCGAACACTGAAAACATGTATGAAAACATTAATCAACAAGAACAGTACATAGAGAACACAGCATTTACTTGTGAAGAATTTCCATATGTATCTCTGGATGATCTCGCGGCCACAATTGATGATACATGTAATATTCCCATCGCTGATTTCATTGAAAAATACCTGCCAAATGATTCGTTAGATGATATGAAATACTTATACGATTTGTATAAATAGGAACTGACAAAACAAAACGTATTACCTCAACAAAGAATACCTCTTGTAAATAAATTTTCAGGAACACTTTACGCGTAGAAACCGATGAATCCTCTTAAATTATAAATTATTGTGTAAATATATGTGTATTTTTTATGTTCGTAATATACAAATAATAATTTCAATCAAATTGACAACAATTGCAAAAACAATAAAGATATTTAAAATATTTCTATGTTTGATTTATTGTATACATGTGAACAGGGATCGGCTGGAGCCGGCTCGGTTTAAACTCGGCGAGCCCCTTGTTAAATTACCCCTAAAACCAAAAAATAAGCCATTTTAATAGTATGTTTAGATAATTATTAGATAGTGTGGCAAATAATATGAAAGCAAGACTTTTATCGGCTAGTCTTATAAATATGGAAGAGGATAATAATAAGAACAATGGTCATTAGATAATATTATGTCACCATGGCTAAAAGGTGAAGAAATGGTTAGAAAATTATGTGAAATTTTAAAGTTTCAAGTAGATGTTAATGATTTTCGTGACTTTGTAGACGCAGACATACAACTGAAAAATTTTCAGTTACCTAATTAAATTTTAAGGGCTAAAAAAATAGCAAGCACAATTGCTATTAGCAGTTCAGAAGCTGTGAGAGGTTTTTGCCTTATGATTTTAATTGCACCAAAAATTAAGAATCAGCCTTACTGTGGACATTTATCCAATCTAATGACAATAAATTTATTGGGGAAACCAATAGCAAATTTCGATGCTATTCCTTTTGTTGCATCTTGGATGAACCAGAATCACAGGTTAGCAATAGAAATAAGGTATAGAAAAAGGCACAATAATAATGTTTCTGCAAATGAACAAAGCATATGGACTCTACATTAATTATGCATATACATAGCATAGTATGTTAAATTTGGAATTTATCAGTTTTTTTGTGCAATAAGTTTAAATTTCTTTATTAGATTGATTAATTATGATTACATTGTATTCTTAATTATTAGATTTGTGGCCTTTTGTGAGCTATTGCTCTTTATGCCGTTACAATTGTGCAATAAATGTTTTGTTTTGTTTATATATTTTATACTGTACAAAAATAAATCGTTGCCGTTTTTTTTCTTCTTCGAAATAACAGCGAGTCGGTTGTTCAAAATTTGGCAGCCCACCCCTGCATGTGAAATTTCAACAAAACGTTGAAGGGAAATGGGTGCACCTTTTAGCATTTAAAGAAAATCGGCATGTCTCAAACAATACTCGGTTGCTTTGGCAAGGGACGGAAAGATGTGATTGATGGTCCATTGTTATCATTGTGAGAAGACCAATTGCCGAAAATGGTACGGTCCGTTTTTCTTTTACCTGAAAATTGACCGACCCTTTTCCACCCTATCCTAACATTCATCTGCCATTTCAGAAAGAAAGACTTTGATGGGAAAAGTACTGCAAAAAAAAAAATTACATGAAGCTGCAGCAACCGAAATTCTTGACAACAAAGTTAACTTTTATTAACAAATATTTACTTTTCTCAAAGACGGTAACTTTTGGTTAAAACCGTTCTGTAATAATTATATTTGATAACATAATGAAAATTTTCTAATCATCTAATTTAATATAGTCTTTGTCTAATTTTGGAGAAATTTGAGGAATAGTTTTTGTTTGATAAATTTTAATTAGAACATTCATATTTCTGATAATTTAGAAATGTAATTAAGCTTTTCCAGATTAACTGAAAACTTTTAGTATAATATATTATTACGTAAGAATATACATTTTTCTAACTTCTGTTCTGAGTAAATTTTCTTTATATAATTTCCTTATATTTTAGGTAGTTAAAATATTAAATTAAATATTCAATTTGAAGTGAAAATTATTTAAGAATTAGAGAAGGGAAAGAAATAGTTAAGTAATCCATCACATTTTTAGTGCATAACTGTTTAAAATTTTTCATTGAAACGTGAAATATAGAAACGTTTTAAGAGTTAATGAAAACATCGGTTTCTAAAATTGTGGGTTTTTGACTATTAAGATACGTATTTTGTAATTTCTCAGCATCAATGTCTATTTTGACATAAGAATCAAAACTTGTCAAAGGGTTAAGTAAAAATACAAGGGTTTCGTTTAAATTAGATGTATTTATTGTAAAACATATGCAAACCTGTAAAGAAAAGGTAAACTGATCAATAACGCTGGTATATAATGAACGGTGCATTGCTGATATAGCTTTATGAATTCATTTTTTCAGTAAATCCACATCAACAACGGATCGTAAATTACTAGTAAAACACGTGCAGAACACACAAAATAACTGTAGAAATCGATGGTTGTTGTATAATGAGACGATGATGAAATCCCACGTTGAGACGAGCGGAAAATGCTTCACACGAATGTTTGATCTAGTCACAATTATCGAAGTACATGTGACCAAGACCAAAACATCCGAGCGACGCACCGCAAATTCTTCGGTTCTTCGTTTCCCTCCCTCCTCTGGATGAAGTTTTCAGCTGCAACCATTGTGAAGTAACTAATGGCTGTGATATGATTCCAAACAACACACATCACACCAATAGTTCCTTAACAATAATCGCCCAACTAGACACACAATATATTTAAGCCGCATCCCAGATGCAGGTAGAAAAATCAGATAACTTATCGTATTGATGAACTAACCGTATAAATATCAAAAGCAATCACACGGCTAGATCACCAAAGACAATAAATTATTTAAACGAAACAAAAAAAAAATTCAAGTACAAATTCAACAAAATAAATACCTACAGACGATCGTATTTAACGTGCTGCGCGAGTTCAGTCCGTACTACACAGAAGACTAAAAATAGTGCAGCAACAAATTGAATTCGCGGGCCGCGTTAAACTCTTATTTTTCTCACTTTATAGGAAATCATACAAAACACTGACTTAATGAAAACAAACAAAATAGAAAAAAAAAGAAACAAAATAAAATTAGAAATTACAAAGAAATAGCTGTAAATGTATGCTACTGATTAAAAAAGTAATAGAAAAACGAAAAGAAAAATTCCGGCGAGTTCGATCCGTACTATGAATTGAACTAAGCCAAATCGATGTTTGAAACACAACACAAACCGAACAAGCCAAAATTTTTAATTTGTTTATTCAAATTACAAAAAAAAAATAATAATAATGAAAAAAAAAATTATAGATTTAGAAAAAAATATATACCAAAAACCAGGAGCACAGAGGAGATCTACTCCCGTTAACTGTAGGATGTACACTGACGATGCTGCACCCGGATTATATACATAAGAGTAAAAACTAATATTTGCTATCCTAGAAGAGGGGGGATGTGGCAGGGAAAGGTGTGCGGTTTGGTGGGGGGCAATGTTCATGGAAAAGTACAGGTACTAAAGGGCAACAATAATAGAATGCTACGAAACAAAGTAGGGTCCGGGGGCTGTTCTGGGAAAGGTTGTTGGGACAAAATATGGCTCTGTAAAATGGTTTTCTTACAAGTAAAGACTCGACGCGAAAATAATGTCCCTTTTGATCAATTTGATACCCATATTGAACTTGTCTTCCAGCTCGGTGTTGCCAATCGTCTTGGAGGCTTGAACCATTTGCCTGAGCAGCTCCTCCAGGCGTCGCATGCAACGGATTATCGACCCTTCGAAGATCTCCGTCATTCTGCACAGATCGCTGAAACTCGAACCATTGCACCACGCGTACACGACGTCCATCAAGAATGGCTTGAACCTATCAACGTAAGCCTCTTCATCTATCTCCAATCGAGCTTCGGTCGAAATCTTTGCTATCCTCCTTGCAATATCCTATTAAGAAACATAAGTAATGTTAAAACATTTAAAAAAGATAATTATAAATACAAGTTTTTAAAATAATACACAAATTTTAGAAAATAGATGAATAAAAGGAAACATTTACCTGCATCTGCCTCAAAGGACCCGACAGTTCGTCAATAAGTTTGGCAGGCTCATTACTCTTCTCGTCGAAAACAAAGCAACTCAAGATAGAGCAAATTTGAGGTGGAGTAAGGGCGCCAAATATTCCGTTGAATATCATTTCAGTAAGCAAAAGTTCATCAGCGCTGCTGAGTTCACAGGCCACACGTCCTTTAAGCTCGATGACATCGCTATTAGTGCAGTAGCCCAACCGTCTCAAAACACGTTTTCTGCATTTAAGCTCATCCAACTGCAGTACAGATTTGGCGCTCAGCAGCTTCTGCTTAGCATCGCTGAGAGCATCACGATATTCGATTTTCTTTTCATACTTTGGATATTCTGTTTCGAGCGTAGTGCTTTTATGCAGCGAATGCTCGTACATTCTTTTCTCAAGCAGTTCGATTTTCTTCACGATATCACCGAACTCGTTGTCCATGATCTTCATGTCTTTAACGGGATTCAAAAGAGGTGGTCCTTTAGGGAACCTTTTCTTCACCTCTCTTATAGCTTTGTACATGCCTTTTCGGGCGTCTTTTGTGCGCAGATCGCTGGGGCAGCAAAGTCTGACAGAGGAAATGTGAGTTATTAAAGTGGCGGCAACAGCAATAACCTCAGTCTCGCCGGTCTGCAAACAAACAAAAAAAAAAAAGGTAACGGACATTTTGTGCATTCACAAAGAGTGGTGAAATTTGCGAAATTGTGACCTTCAAAAAAAATTTAAACACTGCATATTACCTGATTCGGTGGACAGGGTTTCGGTATGGCAGAGCCGAAAAGGTCCTTGTTATTATCATCGCAGGCAACGTGAAGCAATAAATCAACTTGTAATTTGGTACCTTCAACTGCCGGATTAGCCTTCTTCCTACCTCCAGTCTCGGACACTTTTTTAAAGTTTATAATCGCACCCCAATCGTATTCATCATTCTCGGATTTTATCTGTTGAAAAATTAAAGCAAATAACAATTTACTATTTGAACGAAATTATTACAATATTGTTAAGAGACATACCTTAATCAAACGTCCTGGCTGTAGGAACGGAATTAAATATTTTGGCGACGTGATGTACTTTCTAAATTGTACACCTAACGCATCCAACTCTTGCCTGATGTTGTAGTAAGACTCCACTTCAGACTCGTTCTCGACGTGCGCGTTATCGTAATCACTCAAACACTTGGTAAAATCTAAAATTGAATACTTGATGAATAGAATATCTTAGAAATAGATATTGAAACGAATGTTTCTTTACTGAAATACATTTTACAAGTAAACATAAAAAAAATCTCATCTACAGAAAAAAAATCTTACTTTCATAGAGCTGTGGTATAGATGTTTGATTTTGAAATTGGTAAAACGACCTCTCCAGCATATATTCAGGATTGATTTCTTCAACGCGCAGAAGATTTAAAACCATGTTGTAGGTCAAATGAAAGGCGGAGTTGATGGCATCAGGAAGACCCTTGACGATTTCCTTTCCAGTTGATGGTGGCACCTTCTCGTCCACCATCATTATAACAATACCCTTGTCATCAAGCCCACGACGTCCTGCACGCCCAGACATTTGGATGTACTCTCCCGAAGACACCCAACGGTAATCTTTTCCATCGTACTTGCGAATTCCCGTGAATAGAACCGTGCGAGCAGGCATGTTTAAACCCATGGCGAATGTTTCAGTTGCGAAAAGAGCTTTAATCAAGCCTTCGCCGAAAAGGATTTCAATGGTTTCCTTCAAGATCGGTAACAAACCGCCATGATGTATACCAATTCCTGAAGCAAAAAAAAATTTTTTAGTATAAAATAATAAATCAAATTAATTGAAAAAATGCATTACCTCGTCTGAGTAAAGGTAAAAGATTTTCAACTTGTGGTAACCGTTTGTCGTCATCGTTCAAAACATCCATGGCGTTACTGAAAACTTCATCAACCAATTGCTTTTCAGCAGCTACAAAATTAAAGATTAATATTATAAAATTATTATTGTTTTATTAATGAATTTCTTACTCGTGTTGAAATCCAATTTAGTCATTTGAGTAGCATAACGTTCGCAATCTTTTTTACTGAAACTGAACACTATGACTGGCGCGAAATTCCTATCCATAATCATCTTCACGATTTTGAAGATATCTGTTTGCGTGGCATCTTTATTAGCTATGCCACCTTTCCTTCCGATTTGATCTCCCTTTGCAGCATCGCCAGAATTTTGTAGCAGAGCCATCGCCGCGTTGAAGCTATCCTCTTTAAACACTCCCTACAAATAGAAAAACAAAACAAGTTATTATTTCAAATAATAATCAATTAATGTTACTGCTTATTTACATTTTCGTCTACGACCATGTGAATTCCCGAACCGCCGCAGGGGAAAACGAAGTGCTGAAGAGGCGTCGGTCTGTAGTCTGTGTAGACAACGTGACAAGGTTGTTGATGCAGATGCGAAACCCATTCAGCAAACTGTCTGGCATTCGGTATAGTCGCAGATAAGAACACGAAGTGCACGTTGTGTGGGAGCAGGATCAACGTTTCCTCCCAGACGACACCTCTCTCCTTGTCACGCATGTAATGGATTTCATCGAAGATGACCCAACCGACTTCCCTCATGATCTCCGAGCCTCGATACAGCATGTTCCTCAAGATCTCGGTGGTCATAATAAGGCACGACGCTGTCGGATTGATTGTAACGTCTCCGGTCACCAGACCCACATCTTTGAACTCTTCGTAGAACTCACGATACTTCTGATTCGACAGCGCTTTTATAGGAGTCGTGTAGATTACGCGCTGCTTGTTCTTCAGGGAGGTGGCGATAGCATATCTAACAATAATAAGTAATTTAATATCAACAACGTAAAGTAATAATACAATCTTTGTTTGTTTGTTTATTAGGATATTACTTACTCAGCTACGACTGTTTTTCCGGCGGAAGTGTGAGCCGACACCAACACCGATTGGTTGTTATCTACACAGAGGATCGATTCCTTCTGGAAAGGATCCAATTGAAATTGATACTTCTTCGCTGGTTCTCCTCTGCTCGGCTGCAAGGGTGTGTATATTTGTCCTGGTGGAAATGCCACTTCATGTGTGCAAGAATCCAGTGACTCAATTATATGAACCACAACTCGATTCTTGAATTCATCAAAACTATAAACAAACATAAATAAAACATGAAACTATCATTCTAAGATATTTGATACTTAATATTGTAATCATTTAACTACAGTTTCATGAAATCATAAAAACTATAAACAAAAATGAAATGTTTCAGATTTCAATTATATAAACAAGTTATTTAATATACTAAATAAATATTATATAATTTGATCCAATTAGATTATTGAGTTCATCAAAACAAGTAAAATAAAACCTGACATTTGAAAAATATTGTTTTATGAAACTACATAAATAAATGAGAATATCATATTAAAAAAATATATATAAATTTATATAGTAAGAAACTGGTTTAAGAAAGCATTGACAAATCTTGCAATTTCTTTTAACAATGTACCAGTTTAAAAGATGATTAAATTCCGGTTGTCGAGTGATCAATAGAACCTTAAAAGCTCATTTATTTTGAAACAAACCGGCTAAAATTTGATACTTGACTGAAGAATTTGCTTAGAAACTTTCCCCAAAACATGATCTTTATATTCTGCCATGTCTAGACAATATTTACTAATTCATGTATTATTTGAATAATATAGTTTAATAATTATTTATGTAATATAATAAATATAATAATTACATTGTTTAATTTTCTTATTTATTTACTTGTTAATTGAAATGCTCAGCTTTCTGTTTAACATCTACGATTGTTTGTTGCATATGAGTAATGTGAGAATTGAAAATCTGCGATAGTCAAGTGGGACTACTAAATGTAATCTTAATGGCAGGAAATCAAATAAACATAAACAAATGAAACCACGCTTCAAGAGAATCAGCATTTTTTTTTCATTTGCTTAGCACGAAAATTAATCTCAATTTAAAACAAAGATTTGATTAATGTAAATAGTGGATAATTTTACATTATCATTGGTTCGCTGAGTCTATTATTTATTTATTTTTTGTTGCCATCCCATTTTTCCCCCCTTCTGGTATGGCGACGACGAAATAGGATGTTCGAACTAATTGAGGTTAATTGATTGCAATCTCTTGTGTATCATTAATAATCATAATAGTAATGCGGCATAAACAATTGACTTACTCAATGTCCTCGACGTCGACGTCCTCGACGCGAATCTTCTTGACTGCCTTCTCCTCCGCCTCTCCATGATCCCTCTTCACACCTTTGATATCAACCTGAGATACCCTGAGAGCAAAACCAAACCTTAGAATAACAATCAATTAACGAATAAAAAATGTAACGAAACGAAACGGATAATTGCATGCCAAAAAATATTTCTAGGTTATGTAAACTTTACCTTTTTGATAGTTCGTCCGTACCGGATGCGGCCTCCTTGCCGTCCCCCGAATCCTCGAAGCAATCGAACAGATCGTCTATCGCCTTCGACATCTTCTCGTCTCAGTTACCTATTGCACGTACCCAATTGGAAAATTCTCAGCAGAATCGTTGTCTCACAGCAAAATAGGAATACTCAGTTTTTGGAATAATTCGCATCCTCGACCACGCGATTACAAGGTTCCCTGTTCTGGACGAGAGACGAGGGGGAGAGAAAGTTTTCCCGCTCGCCGAGGGGAAATAACGACAAACAGGCGTACCAACATGCCGGAGGATTCTTAGTTTCAAAAAAACTATGTATTATATTATTGTTAGATGGATTTTCCTATTAGACTGTAACACAAGTATTGAAAGATTTAACTTGATCTAAAGCTTACCTAAACATTGTATTTATCTAATTGTAGGAAAGCGGCACTATTGTAACGATTTATTCACAGTTAGCACAAGGTACTACTTCTTGTAAGATTCAACCAGGAATCACCAGGAATGCTGACAAGTCTTATAGGAGAAAGCAAAGATCCCATTGGCGGCATATTCAATTTCAGATGTTATACTGGTTGCCTCAATTTTAATTAACAATTTTATTTAAAACAATAATTAATTTAATTACATAATACTTGAGGGCGGCCGTAGCCGTGTGGCTATGGTCGCCTGTATCACAAAAATCTGATACGAAAGGTCGTTGGTTCAATTCCGAAAATCAACAAAAATTTGTGGTGGCTGTTAAACCCGAAAGGGGTAGAAATAGGGCCGGAGAGATTTATATCAATAAATAAATTGATATAAATCTCTTAAAATTAAAAAAAAAAAAAAATACATAATACTTCATAGCACTGTTCAAAAAAATAAATAAACCATTACAAACTTCCTGGTCTGAAATATTTACTTAGTTTTAATTATTTTTACTTTGCAATTATATTTTTACACATGTTCATTTGTTAAAAAATTTAATTTTGACTTCTTTTTATTGAAATCGATATATCTTTACCAGAACAAAAATATTTATGCAACCAAACTTACATTAAAGAATTTTTAAATTTTAAATATAATGTCCGGTTTAATTAATTTAATTGGGAGATTATATAACTTTTTAATAAAAGTAAGTTTTAAAATAATTTTGGCATTTTATTAAGACACTAATAATACTATAAAAATATAATGTGTTACTAAATGTATATATATATAAATATATATTTCTATATATGTATATATAAAATATTTATAATCTTTTACTAAAATATGTTCTGACTTATTAACTAAATTCTGTACAAAAGAATATATAAAATAAAACACACACGCGCACACAACAAAAAAAAAATACATATCTAATAATAATATTTGAGCAATAATCTTGAATGGGTGCTATCTAAAATTATTGCATTAAACTAACGTATGCACAAAAGAGGGATGCTTTTCAGTCAATCGTAAAAAAAAACAACATATTTACATTATTATGTATAGAAATATCTTCCAGAAAACAAATAAGTATAGCTAATGAAGGTGGGCAAAGGGCACAAACATCTATCGTGGATAATATCCCTTTCTGGACAAGACACTCAACTTTCACCAAAAAACAAAAATATAATAATTAAATCGATATCACATTTATTTTAACACACGAGGAGTAGGCTTTCTTTGTTTTCTTTTTAAGTACCTGACTTTAGTAGAAAATGTCAGTTATGTTAAAATAAATATTATTTTCTCTTAAGGCACTCTGAATGCACTAGGGAAACCTCAGCTCCTGTATATACCTCGGCTGCTGAAGGTTGTGATGCGAAGAGGATCTCGTCAGTTCGCGATTCCTGTTGTAGCTGTGCTCGGGTGGAGTGTACCGTCTCCTGTGCCTCTTGTTATCCATGCTTCTGGAGGATTCGATGACAACTTTAGGTTGATCGTTGAATCGTCGTTTGTTCTCCTCGAACCTTTCCTTCTTCCTAAACCAGTCGCGTTCGGATTCGTTACCATAGATGTCCAAGACTTGAGAAGCATGGAATTCGCTTCTGGGATAATCGGAAGCGCTGCTCCTCCTCCACCTCTCTTTATACTTTCTTTCAGTCATTTCGTCCTCCAAACTCTGCTTCTCCTTCGAATTGTTCGAACCGGACTCGCTTGAATTCTCTTCGGATGTTCCCAATCCCAAATCTTTATCGATGTCGTAACCTTTAAACGGTTTCTTGTTCTTGTCGAACCCCATGTACGTGTTCTGAATGCTCGAGTTCAGAGTGAATTGAGGATGCGGAATGCAGTAAGGATGTGGTAAAGACTTCTCTATAGCCGACATCTTAACGTTCTCCTCTTCGTCCCAATTCGTGCAAGATCCTGGCCCGAAGAGCGATAACAGCACAGGTAGTAAGAAGAGACCGTGCATGGCTCCGCAGAACACCACTAGGAACACCATCTTGAAGAAGACCAAAAAGATGTAATTGTCGGCTAAGAGCAAAGCCACCATTCCCAAGATTGTGCTGACAGCTCCCTGGAAAATCGGCAATCCGAGAGCGTAAAGGCTTTCGCGGACTCTCTCATCTGGTCTTTTCGCTGTTGAAGACATGTAAGCGTAGCAGATGTGCGCAGTGAAATCAACGCTGAATCCTATACACATGATCAAGTTAATCATCGATATCGAATCGAGATTGACGTGCCACAAAGCCATGTAGCCAATAACTCCGGTTTCTATAGATATTATACTGAATGCCACCCACAGCGAGCAGAGAACGTTCGGTATGAAGAGGAACGAGATTATCATCATGACTATAGCTCCTATAACCATGTTCTGCAAAGACATGGGTCGCACCAATTCGAACTGAAAAGAAAAAAAAACATATGTTTAGTAATCAATTATGTTAAAATCTAATTGATAAATCGTACTTGATCAAAGAAAACGAAGTATGGATGGAAAACTGTAGCGTTGAGTGAAGATTCCGCGCAGATTCTTCTCAATGCTCGCACCATTTCCTTTTCGTGTTCGGTACCGGAGATGTTCACAGCTTGTATCAAGAATCTCATCCCGACAATTCTGGTACCGTCGTCGTTGAATTTAACGTCCAAAGAGAATGGACTACCGTCGTTTAGCCAATACTGAAAAAAAAAACAAAGATTTGTTTAGATTTGAAGTGCTATTTAAGTATAATTATTTTACTTCTTTAAGGGCCGAAATAAAGCTGTCTTCGTCTGAAGTGGAAATGTTGAGATAATCAGCGTTTCTATCCGCGTATTGCACGAAACTCCTCAGCCAGGATTCCGTGTATAAAGTACTCGAGACGTACGAGGTGTTTTCGAAGGTTTGCGTTAGGTTCTCCACTTGCCATTGGACGTACGGATCAGAGTAGTTGTGTTCTCCGCTAATAATAACTTGCACCCTGGAAGAAAGTAAAGTTATGAGATGATTATTGAATAATTTTGTTTGTTGTTTACCTGTAGGGAAACTCTCGGAAATAATCGTCTTCCCTGTCGAAGAACTCGATGGCGTACGAGTCGGATTTCGCAACCTTTCTCCTTTCTAATCCCTCTTCGATCTGGGTGATGCCGTAGCCGGCGCCGAGAAGGTAAGCGCCGAAGACCAAGATGACGACGACTTTCACGAAGGAGTTGTTCAGGAATTTGGCAAAGTAATCGCGGAAGAAGGCCATCATCGCGTGCTCCTTGTTGTCCTCGGGGTTGTTGATGTCGTCCGGATCGACGCCTCCGCTGCACATCACCCTGTACAACCAAGATCTATTTTCTGTAAAGCAAATTAATTAATAAAGAAAAACCCTCCCAAAAAAAAATAAAATGCATCGATAATAGTGATGTGTCACGAGATCAGAGCGAACTTTCTCCGTGTGATGTAACGTCCCAAGGACGGCGGAATGAAAGTGAACAATATTTCGCTTCTTCCGCAAACAACGCGACGCAATCGAATACACACAACGAACGCTTCGGCGGCGAGGAGTTCCCCCTTTTTTTTTCCGATCCGCACAAATTATTATACAACGAGTTGCGTAATCGCGTAAATAAGCCGAATTTGCCCGTGGGACGAACGCTTTCGAGTTCACGTTATGCAGTCGGTAGGTGTGATGTAAATCGATCATAACGCTTTGGAAATTAGAAACTTACTAGATTTAGACACTGGCTGGACTTTGATGCAGACCACGGAGTGCAAGTTCTTCTGCTCGCAATATCCGGAGATCGCAACGCACGCTGTGAAGAATGTCAGGTGCCAGACGAAGGTGAATAAAGTTGCGACACCTAAAACCAAAGAAAAATGTTAGTATACATCGATTAAGGTTAATTCTACGACTTCTTCGTTACCTGAATATATGCAGAATATGGTGACGGAAGGAAACGGACTGAAGATTCCGATGAAGAAGCTGACCATATCCGTGATGGAGGTGATGGTGATCGAGACGGCCGCTTCGCTAAGCATGTGGGCCATCCTTTCTGGAACGCTCAACTTGATGGACGTCCTTCGCCAAGCGGCGAGCATTACGAAAGTGTCATCAATACCGATACCTAAGATTCCAATTAGAAATAACATAATCTAAATTCCACAAGAGAACGTACCGATCATCAAGAAAGGAGCAGCCAGATTAATGCCGATGAAATCTATGCCCATGTAGATGCACAGACCGAAGGCCGAAAGCGTCGCCATTGAAGCACTCAAATTTCCCAAAAGTCCCAACCACGGTTTCGATCTGACCCAATCCGTCATCATGCAGGTCACTTAAACAAATACAATTAATACAAATTTATGACTCCAGTAAACTTAACTTACCTATGGAGAATATAGCCATAATGAGGAAAGTCGAGGTGAAGTATGGTATCACCGAATTCGTATTCTTCTCCAACTCCTTGTCGAGAGTCCTGGAGGCGAATCTTGCGATCCTGATGTGCTTAAACAATCCGTTATCCTGCGCATCTCCGACTCTATCCAAAAACATGTCTTCCCATGCAGCACCTCTGCAAAGAACATTAAATTAATTAATTGATTCGGTGTTAACTCTTGGATATTGTCAATTAAACTAGATGATTTAACAAAATAGTTTGATGAGATGTTACGTAGAAAGTGTTCAAAGAATATGTGTATTATAATAAAAGTAAAATTGTCAAGAAAATTGCGAATAAAACAAACGTTTTCATAGCGTTTTACTTTCACAATTCTTGGAGCGTGGTGTCGTTTTGCGCGTAAGGAATGCCGTTGCAAGAACAAACATGAAAAAATATGACAATTATCTAGTGCTATGTAGCACATCTTCTGATAAAGAAGACACATTGCATAGAGTTTCGATTGCATCAATGGAAAATGCGTTCGTAGGTCTTCAGCTAAACGAATTAAATAAATTGAACAATTGCTTTGTTGTTCCGTCGTTTGGTATGTGCAGCACGGTGTCGAACAATCGCAATTTTGGATTGTTGGCCCATTAGCAAGTGAAATGCCTTTGGCGCAACACTTAGTGAGTGTGTGAGTCTCCTTTGGAAAACCACCGTCCTTGACTGATTACTACACATTGATTCGCAGCAATTTGCTCAATCCTTCCTTACCTTTTATCGTACTTCTTGCTGTCCGCATTGGCGAAGTAAACCAGTTGCACTGATGGTACGCTGATGATGATGCCATCTCTTACTGTGGTGCCGCCGAAGAAGACCGGAAAAGCGTGGGCGTCCCAGGTGACCGGATTGAACATCAATGGAAACGTTAGATTCAAGTTTCCAGATTCGACCTGCAAACATCAATGATTTGTTTTTAATTAATAATAATTCTTGAGATAGAATGTGCAAATATGCACGAACACACACAATGGCCGAGAAAGCATGCCACTATGACCTCACGTGAAAGCGAAGAGATTTGACCTTATAAAGAAGGATTATTCTCATCATTGAAATCGCAGAATCACGCACCTTTCCACCAAAGAAATAAATTTAATAAGTATGCATCGAAAAGGAATCAGACTGGAACATTGATCATAATCATTATTTCATATAATGCAAGAAGTTTAAGAATTTCAGCATAAATGATATAAATTTGTATCTATAAATAAGTTTCAGGACGATTTCTTTCAAGTAATTCACCGTGTTCCACTTTCATCGAAAATTCTTTCTTTACCTTATTTTACAGTTTGCAGAAGTTTGTGCTTCCATATTGGAAATGTTATGCACACGCAGTTCGCATAAAATTATCCTTCCTTTCCGACACCCACCGGCAACCTCGTCGATACTTCCGAAGAAGGAAGTAAGCAATAAATACAGTGCAGAATGTTGTGCAGCCAAAAACATTGCGGCACGTCGGAACTACTTTGCAAAATGTATAAGGATTGCAAAGTACTTCGTTCTTATTCAGACGCACTTAAGTATCCTGACGATATTACACGTGAAACACATACACAGATTTTATCAACTCTTACTTTACATCTTACATAATCAATATTGATTGTTCATTTTTAACTCAATTTGAACTAATAAATAATTATATAACAATCAAATTCCCGACATTTGAAATCTCGACATAGTGAAAATCTCGACAACCATAATCAGTGTTAATAAGATTCAATGTTAACATTGATTTTAGTTTCAATGTGAATAAACGAAATTAACAACAATAATTATAAGATTTCATCAACTCTTACTTTACTTCTTATATTTCTCAATTTCTATCAAGAGCTGTTATGTAAGCATTTGAAATAATATTGAATTATTTGAATATGAATGCATATTACGATGCGGAAGAAGTTAACAGTTTCACTCCAACAACAATTATCGATGATGGATTTACGTAACGTTTCTCGCCTCGCGTTTCGAACGTTGGTTCTGTGTTCGCCGTTTAAAACTGTGCAGTGTAAGCTCGTATTAATATAATGTAATATCTCGTAACTCCGGTTATGCAATTGCGTGTATGTGGTTGGTAAAACGCGCATCGAAAGAAAACTATGACTTCTGGTAGTTGGGCAACGGCGATTCGATATCCATTAGAAATAATTTAGTGCAAAGAAGAGCGGAAAAGTGGTTTACTGTTAATAACTATCCATTTCACGAAGACTTTTTACAATTAACATCATTAGTTTTAGCATTTATAGTTATAAACAATAAATTTAAAAAGTAACAAAAAAATTGACAAAAATCAGGATGTGAAATGCAAATTTAAATCTACAAGTATTGATGTTATATAATTATAAAATAATGAATGGAAATGTTACTTACATCATCCAAGATTCGGTCCAGATTAAGAATGTCGTTCTGAAAGCATTCGTTGTTCCATTTGGCGCAGATATCTTTGTAGGTGAAATAATCGTCGTCGTAGAGGACAGTAGTATTTTGTATCATGTCGTCCAGGATGCGCAGTTCCTGCCACACCTCTTGTCGCAAGATGTTTTCAATACCATCTTTTGCTGTCACAATTACTCTTCCAAAACGTCCTGAAAAAGAAATATGAAAAATAATTTGTTAATTAAAAAAAAATAATATAACCGAAAAGTCTTAATAACTCAATAATTATTTGACAATCCATAAGTTAGAATATAGTAAATGTTGCGTAATTATTTACACTTTGTTATGTAAAAAGACAAAATATAAAAAGTTTGATAGTTTTATAGTTTACTTAAAAATTGTAAAAAAAATACAAAAAATATTCTTGACAACAAAAATCTTAATATCTCGATAAATACTAGATATTCCATAACTAGAAATATATTAAAAGTTGCGTAATTATTTATTCTTTGATATGCTAACAGACAAAATGTAAAAAGTTTAATAATTTTATAGTTTACTTAAAAATTCTACAAAAAAAATTACAAAAATATTCCTGAAAATAAAAATCTTAATATCTCGATAAATACTAGATATTACATAACTATAAATATATTAAAAGTTGCGTAATTATTTAAACTTTGTTATTCAAAAAGATATAATATGAAAAGTTTGATAATTTACTTAAAATTTAAAAAAATGTCTGCACAAAACAAATTCTAATTTACTTAATTTTAGATTTACTTAACTTTATTTCATGCCCTTTTTTTATATGAATAGTTGCAAAATTAGGTGTGTAAGTTAAAATGACAAAAGTTTTATAGTTTACTAAAAAAATGTGAAAAAAAAATTATAAAAATATTAGTGAAAACAGAAATCTTAATATCTCGATAAATACTAGATATTCCATAACTATAAATATATTAAAAATTGCGTAATTATTTAAACTTTGTTATGCAAAAAGACACAATATGAAAAGTTTGATAATTTACTTAAAAATTTAAAAAATAATCACAAAATAAATTCTAATATTTTGTTTATTAAATTTATTTCTCGAGATTTACTTAACTTTATTTCATGCCGTTTTTTTATATTATTAGTTACAAAATTAGGTGTGTAAGTTAATATGACAAAAGTTTTATAGTTTACTAAAAAAATGTAAAAAAAATTACAAAAATATTCCTGAAAACAAAAATCTTAATATCTCGATAATACTAGATATTCCATAACTATAAATATATTAAAAGTTGCGTAATTATTTAAACTTTGTTATGCAAAATTATATAATATGAAATTCTAATATTTTGTTTATTAAATTAATTTCTCGAGATTTACTTAACTTTATTTCATGCCGTCAAGTGTATAAGTTAATATGACAAAAGTTTTACAGTTTACTAAAAAAATGTAAAAAAAAATTGCAAAAATATTCCTGAAAACAAAAATCTTAATATCTCGATAATATTGAAATATATTGTAATAAAAGTAAGAAATTGTGTATAGTTTTCATTGAATAAAACTGTAAAAATATTGGTGCATCTGTTAAGAACAGCTGGTTTTGGGATTGACACACATTGAACTAAAGGCATAATTGTAAAATCTGCACGAAGCCAATTTCACCAGTAACTTTAATTGGTGGAAGAAGCATGCAAAACCTGCTTCTCTCATACGAATGCATAAGTGCGACAGTTAAGAGGCTGAATTAGCATAAATATAGAAAATAAAAAAAACTGGAACGCACTGAATGTGTGTCTTCAGGTCTACACTATACAAAATAAGAAAAGAAAAATTGGTATTACGGTACACACGCATTATTGCATTTTAATTATTTCTATTGGCGTGCGGAGCGCGGACATTTGCATAACTGTTACAGTCTGTATGGACGATAATAATTAAGTTTGTAGCGAAGGACGCATCATTCATCTTCCTTGGTGAAAGACACCACAAGACGCACTTCAACGTTATAAACCCACGCAGAGAGTCGAGTATTCTGACAGATCCTCAAGTCATTGCCAATTAAGTTAATCGCGAATTTCCTACGACCTTGATAACTGTTTAAATTTGTATTCAAATCGTATTTCTTAATTAAATCTGTAAATAAACTTGAAAAATGTCATTGAATAAGTGAAACATTTATAACGGTAAATTCACAATTTTTTTTGATCAAATAAAATTTTATAAAACTAAATTATAAATTTGAAGAATATAATTGAATAAATGAAAATTTCTTTAAGAAAGACTAAATTATGAAATGATGATTGTAAAATTTTGAAAACTATAAATTTCTATTAAAATTTCATATTTTTTTTGATAAAATACAATTTTATAAAACTAAATTAGACATTAAACAAATGTATAAAGAAAAAAATATAAACTAGAAGAATATCATTGTATAAATGAATATTTCTTTAAGAAAGACTAAATTATGAAATGATGATTGTAAAATCTTGAAAACTATAAATTTGTATTAAAATTTAATATTTTTTTTATAAAATAAAATTTTATAAAACTAAATTAAATATTAAACAAATTTATAAAGAAAAAATTATAAACTTGAAGAATATCATTGAATAATTATTTAAGAAAGACTAAATTATAAAATGATGATTGTAAAATCTTGAAAACTATACATTTCTATTCAAATTTCATATTTTTTTCATAAAATACAATTTTATAAAACTAAATTAAACTTTAAACAAATTTATAAAGAAAAAATTATAAACTTGAAGAATATTATTGAATAAATAAAAATTTCTTCAAAAAAGACTAAATTGTGAAATGATGATTATAAAATCTTGAAAACTATAAATTTCTATTAAAATTTCATATATTTTTGATAAAATACAATTTTATTAAACTAAATTAAACATTAAACAAATTTATAAAGAAAAAAATATAAACTTGAAGATTATTATTGAATAAATGAAAATTTCTTTAAGAAAGACTAAATTATGAAATAATATATTGTAAAATCTTGAAAACTATAAATTTCTATTAAAATTTCATTTTTTTTCGATAAAATACAATTTTATAAAACTATTAAACATTAAACAAATTTATAAAGAAAAAAAATATAAACTTGAAGAATATCATTAAATAAATGAAAATTTCTTTAAGAAAGACTAAATTATGAAATGATGATTGTAAAATCTTGAAAACTATACATTTCTATTCAAATTTCATATTTTTTTCATAAAATACAATTTTATAAAACTAAATTAAACTTTAAACAAATTTATAAAGAAAAAATTATAAACTTGAAGAATATTATTGAATAATTGAAAATTTCTTTAAGAAAGACTAAATTATGAAAAATGATCTTGAAAACTATAAATTTGTATACAAATTTCACATTTTTTTGATGAAATACAATTTTATAAAACTAAATTAAACTTTAAACAAATTTATAAAGAAAAAAGTTATAAACTTGAACAATATCATTGAATAAATGAAAATTTCTTTAAAAAAGACTAAATTATGAAATAATGATTGTAAAATGTTGAAAACTATAAATTTCTATACAAATTTCATATTCTTTGATCAAATAAAATTTTATATAATATACATTCTTTAAACTAAAACTAAATTACGAAACGATAAATCTCTTTCAGACGTTATAATCTTAAATGTTCGATAAAAAAGGGTAATATATGTGTTCGATACTGAAAAGAAATAGATTGTCTTCGTTAAAGAAAAGATGATTTATCTACGAAAAACTCACTTGTTGATGGGATTCTTGAACCCCTATAGAGTTTGAAAAAAAAAAATCATTGTTTTCAGATGATAAAGCACATTTTTTCTATTGGTTTCGTTTTGAAAAATGTCTTCAAAAACAAATTTTATATTCCAAGAAAATACGTACTTTACAAAAAGTAATTAATATTTTAAATAATCTAATTAGTATATTAGTTTATACTTTAATTAGTAAAAAAAATATTATATGATTCTTTTACACACATTTATATTGAAACTATTGAAAGTTCATTGAAAAATTATATAATACAAGGAAAAAATTAAGAAATATGAACTAACAAGTAATTATAAAAAGTCTTAAGTCTCATTTTGGAAAATGATGTCTTTGGATTAATAAGTAATTATAAAAAGTGTAAATTATTAAAAATGTCAATAATTTATGTAAGAAATATGAATTAAGAAGTATTAAGTTAATCTGTTGATATAAAAACTGACCTGCTCTTGTGATTCTGGCAACGTTGAAGCGACTGCTGTAGTTAACTTTGAAGTAGGATTCGGCAACGGATCTCTCTAATTTTCCTTCGCCGTTGACCGGACTGAAGAGGTACTCTGGGTCGATGTTGTACTTGACCCTCTGAAAGCCGGTGACGAAGAACATGGTGAGGAGGAGCGGCACGATGAGGAAGTATCCCGGATGCCGTCCGACGATGAGGCCCAACCGGAAGAAGGCTCTGTTCAGCATCGCGTCTATACATTTAATACCCATCTGCAAAGAGAAAAATAACCGTTTTATACACATGAACATTCTTAATATACCAGGAATTTATATCGGTTGCATGCGACTGGACGTGGGTATTTCATTTTCAAGTTCAAAAACCATATACACACACACACGCATTTAGCATAGAGAGAAAAGACGTGGTGGATTTGATTATGATGATGATGATGAAGACCCTGGTTCATTCATCCTTTTGATTGCATAATGGAGCGTCGGGGTATGTGTGTTTTGTGTAATGGATCAAGTGTGTTAGTGTTAGTACGGGACACGATGTGATGAGACGAATTATATATATAGGCCCATCATTCAATCATAGCCCGTGCATATATGTCTTCATGTGTGACACCCCGACCATTTGCACTGATCAGCGCAAATGGACCACTGGCATTTTCAATTTAAATAAATTAAATCACGGGAAAAACGTTTCCTCTAAACCAATCTCATCAACAAAATGAAAGAGTCTAAATCTGAATCACATCCGAATCGTCACAGTCAACAATTTACATTTAACAATTTTTGTTCGTTGTTGTTGTTATTATACTATTACATAAATTATTACAAATATGCAACTTTCCAAAGTTCTCTTGACCCTAAATCGTTTTTTTTTATCCAATTCAACAAATTTATTACATTATTATTATACCAATTTATTTTAATGTCTTTGTTTTATATACAAATTACAACTTTTTCAATCAAATGATTAAATACTTAACGTAAAAAGTTACTGATAAAATTAGTTATTAGTAAATATTTTTGATTGATTATTTAAGTTTGTATATCTTTATTAGACAAATAGTACTAATCACCCATTCAAGAACAATCATTTACTCCCTTTGCTTAACTTTCTTTTTTTTTATATAACAAAGGGATTTATATCAATTTATTATTGATATAAATCTCTTTGGCCCTATTTCTACCCCTTTTCGGGTTTATCCAACGACCTTTCATATCGGATTTTCAACTTAACTTTCTTAAGCAGTAATACAATAAGTACTTGATGTGCGCCATCTATTGTCTCGATTTTTAAATTTTCTATGAGTTTGTTCGAGGTCTTTACGTATCTTTAATTGATGGTAAAATTTATCTTAATTTATAAATTATTTTGATTTTTGAATATTATTAATATATCAATTGATCCATTTTTATTATTTGTACCTTGTTTATCATAACAAAGTATCATTCTATTAAATTAATGATACCAATCACCTTTTCAAGTACTATTTCAAACACGCTTTGCTTAACTTTACTAAGTGGCTTACACGCCATCTATCGTCATGATTTTTCTGTGATCTCTATACATATATTAGTTTTTTTTTATTGCAATTTGAATGTTTTATTATTATTTGTTTTATTTTATCGATTGAATTTTTTGCTTAAATTTCATAATTTCTTATATTTTTTTTACATTTTCTTATATAATTATTGTTGAATTCTGTACATATCTTTAATTGATGACAATATATACATTTCTCATGTATCTGTTCCAGCGTAGTCTACAAATTATTTAAATTTTATTATTAATTTATTTTAGACTCCTTAATTCATGTATTTTCATGGTTTGTACGTACTTTATTGACTAAAGTATCATTCTATTTGATTAATGTTACCAATCAAGAATTATTCCAAATACTTTACTTAACTTTACTTAGCTTATTCAACACTTAATGTACGCCATCTATTGTCATGACTTTTTACATTTTTTCTGAAATTTATTTTTGAAGTCTGTACATATCTTTAATTGATAGCAAAATATACTTCAGTTATGTGTCTGTTCCAGCTTAGTTTCGAAATGATTTAGATTTCTAAATATTTTGTTATTAATTGATTTTGGACTCCTTTTATAATTTGTACGTACTTTAACATATTAATGAAACATTTTATTAGATTAATGTTATCAATCACCCTTTCAAGTACTATTGCTTAACTTTACTAAGCAACTAATACAACACATAAAGTACGCCATCTATCGTCATGATTTTGAAACGTTCTGCTTCTTTTATGTTATTGTAATTTTAATATTTGATTGTTATTTGTCTCATCAATTGATAATTGATTGACTTCATATAAAGATAATAATTGTTGCTGATGTTATTTCCTTCTTGTGCTAAATCCATGCTTAGATAATACGTAAATCTATATACAAATCACCCATGAATAATACAATTGAAAAGTTATTGCGTTATTAATTAACGTCGGAACGGAAACAGCGTAATTACACTTAAATCAATGATTATTTATGCTCCATCAGTTAATTCACTCCGACTTCATTATTTACACCTAAACTAATTCCCCGCTTCTGTCCGCCTCGATTACACCAGAGACCGGAACTTATTACCATATTATAATTCTACACACATGGGAAAGAAAGTGATATAATTTTCCTAATCCACATTACACAATCCATTGCAAGTTCTCAAAATATTGTAATGACAATAATACAGTTTCGATCAGTACGGATTTCATATAATCCGGTTTGAAAATTTCAATAAATACAGCTTCTATGAGTACAGATTTACTATATAGTTTTCTTTAAAAATTTGAAAAGAAACTAAATTTTAATTGAAGAAAATAAAAGCCACTTTTTGCGATTATCCGTACTATGCGAGATATTATTGCATTAGAATTAAGAGAGTTCAAACATAAAGTAAATAAATCTTAAATATTGTACGTTTTCTCGTAATTTCTCTTGATCCTGAACGAAAGAACGAAAGTCTTTATTGATGGTTGATGATTCGAGAAAGCTCGAGTCTTTCTGAACTGTATATACTACGCGTATCATTATTAATACTAATTATGTAATTGTCTCGTTATTATCTATCATTTTTTTTAGCATTCTCTCTTCTTTTCGTTCGGACTGTGATGGGCGTCTGTATGTTAAAAGAAAGTATTATGCAATTAGCAAAACACGGTAATTATTTTCCCCACTTTTTGTTTTGTTTTGATATTGCATGCATACTGGATCGAAGGCGCGCGTCGTCTATCAATGCAGGAAGTCCAATGCAGAGTGAGAATCGATAGAAAAAAAAAGGAAAAACACGTACTTTCCTTTTGTTTCCATTACACGATTGCGCGAACCATCATTTTTTTCTACTAAAATATGTTATCCAAATCATTGATGTATGCTAATTATAAGAAAAAAATGTACCCTCAGAATTCCAGAAAAATTACATTAAAAGTTATTTTCGTTCTCAACTTATTGTCAACTTTATTAGACAAATAGTACTAATCACCCATTCAAGTACAATCATTTACTCCCTTTGCTTAACTTTCTTTACATACTTTACTATGTAAAAGTATCATTCTATTATAATAATGGTACCAATCACCTTATTAAGTACTATTCCAAACACGCTTTGCTTAACTTTACTTAAGATACGCCATCTATCGTCATAATTTTGAAATGTTCTCTTTGACGTATATTTGTGGTCTGTACGTATCTATTCCTTTTTTTTTTATTGCAACTTTAATATTTACTGCTTTTTTTGTCCTTTTTCTTCTTGTGATAAATCCTTCATTTTTCTATTAAATTAAGTTATTTTCAAAACGCGAAAATTTAGCTTCAAATTTCCCAAGAATTTTTAAATATAAATATTGGTGAATGCCAATGCCTCTTTCATTGACAGAATACAGAGCCTCAATCTTAGGGGCGCTAATATCTAAGGTAACATTGTTTTTTTCAGGGAATTGGGGCGCAAATTAAACATTGATGTCTTGTGTCAAGGGCGCAACTTATATATTTGAAACATTATATTCTATACTTTTGCTTTCGGTGAATAAATAAAAACAAAAGTGGAACAGTTTACTTAATTAAACATTTCACAGTTCAAAAAGAATCCTTTCTTTTACGAACGAGAAGCGTACGATAATCGATTTAAATTCTGATCTCCGATGCGAAAACGTGAAAGGAAAAGCACGTTGAATTAGGAGCAAAATATAAAAAAAAACGACGACAACAAATAAAACAGCAAAAGAATATATGTAAATAACTATAGAAAAAAAAACCTTGGCACAGAATAGTAACATCGAAATGTCACTATTATATAAAAATAAACCAAATAGAAGGAGTTTTTTTTTATATAATTCTCGAGGAAAAACTTATGTAGTGAAGTGCGTGCAACAGCGCTGCAATTTTTAGTGTTACGAAACAGTTCCAATTCACTTTACTAGGAAACAAAAGAAAATAGACTTCGATCGTATGGATTTCCTCGAGTCGGATTGTATGATAATCTGCGTGGAAAGACAATGAAGAAATCTATAGAATTACTTGTAATTAGGTGTTAATAATTGTTTGTCCAATTATGCGAAGAGAGGAATTATGACAAAATATATGCGAGGTTATATAGTCTGCTATACTTCTTGCATAATTCTTGATGTTACCGCCTCGAGCCGAAAGACGATGAATTATTGCGCATTTCACTTTCGGGGATTTCCGTTGCGCAAAAAAATACACGAATCTAATCATTATCAATAGTTTTTTGATATCCAATAAGTTAATTTTGCAATTTATTATAGAGTAAAACCTCGTTTAGCGCTTAAATTGCTGTGCTAGATGCTAAACGAAACAAGCTTAAGTTAACATAAATTTAGAACGAATCATAGTTAATTTAGGAACCTTACTGTACTTAAGTATTATATAAATGTAAACTTTTGGACTCAGAAGTAATAGACTAGAGAATAAGTCAATGACAAAAAAAAATGCGTTGTGAAATTTGGTTTTCTTTTGATGTACGACATTGAGTCTGCCTACAGGAATAATTGTGAACTCTGTTTTGAATACGAAATATCCACGTTACTTAACATCTTACGTCTATTGAAAAAGTCTAACGTACGTGAGTATTTAGTAAAAGTTTTTTTATACACGATCTGGGTTAGTATAACATTACAAAAATATAACATACATAGAAACAAACCAATGCATATAAACCAGCGTTTCTCAAGCAATGAATTGAGAAGCGTTAATGTTTTGACAGATCAAAAATGACTGCTGT